GAAAAATTTGATCATCATACAACATCTCTATAATAAATGGATTTGCCTCAATTTTAGCGTGACATGTACACCGACCGTTAGTTTGTTAAAATTATCAAATTTGACAGACTAGACATAAATTGTTTGACGAGTATAGATGTTATGCACACCATAACGATAAATAAATTTGTTTATGCAGTAGTAAAGTTTTTTTTCTAAGGTAAAGGAGTCATTACTTACGCGTTTCGCTGTAATGACGGATAAATTAGAAAGGAACATCATTCGATAAAATTTATCATTAAATTTTTTCCCTTGTAGATAAAACACCAATCAATAAATATGAGCTCAAGAAAGAGAAAAGAAACCAACAATAAAAAGCTCAAATTTCGTAAACTCGAAAACGCGACCGTCAAAAATACTACTATTAATAATGACAGCACCACCACCACAGACAACCACATAGAAGAAGAAAAATCTCCGGCGTTGAAAATTCCGCCAGAGATTTTTATTAAAATGTGTCAAAACCTCGCCCCATCCGATCTATTGTCGCTCTCGCGAGTATGCAAACTTTACAGTGAATATCTATGCTCGAAAGAATCTTCAACTACCCAAAATATTTGGAGAAATGCAAGAATCGAGCATCTCACTAGTCTTATTTTGCCACCTCCTGTTGGATTTGACGAGCGTGATTATGTAAGGCTTGTACTTGAACGTGGATGTCATTTTTGTAATAACACTCCTCGTGTCAAGAAAGTCTATTGGGCGTTCTGTTTTCGAGCTTGTCATAATTGTTTAATAAAAAATATAATCAGGTATGTTCATCCTTCAATAGACGACTAATTTTTATTTATCATTATATTGAATTATTAACAATCCATTTTATAACCAGCGAATCTGATCTATATCAACAAAGTGTTCTCTTCAGAGAGCCCGCTCCACTTGTTCCCTATATTATTCGAATTAATAATTTGAAGTATGAAAGATTCTTTTACATAAAACACGTGAATGAAATTTACCTTGAATGGGAAGGAATTAATGATCATGATCGAACAGACTGGATTAATCGTAAAAAATGTGAGTGTTTAGAGTACATGGAAAAAGTTGATGCACATGAAAAGGCTGAGTATCGGGAAGCGTTATTTAAAACGAAAGAGAAAGAGTTACTTAAGCAGATCCGTGCCGAGGCAATTGAACAGAAACTCGACGAGATGAGAAATGAAACTGATCATGAAGGAAATCACTATCAGAAGAAATATCTGAAGGGGTGTCCTTCCTATAATAACGCGCGTGCTCAGTCTCGTCCATTGACTGAAAGATCTTGGAAAATACTTAAAGGTAAATTAAGACGTGAGTATTTGGATGTTGCCAACAGCTATCGACTTGAACAAGAGTTATTGACTAAAGCTTTGGTGTCGATAAATTAATCATTATTAAAAAAATTCAGACAATTGTGTATTAAATTACTTGAGAATATTGTCTAATTTATACATATCGATATCCTTAAATAAGGATAATACAATAAAAATTATTTATTAAGAGCATTGTTTCTTGTTAAAGACTCATTTAAAACCCATTCCGATTCCGCTTAAAAGTACATGGTTTTTGTTTCAAGCAAATAGCCTCCAATTCTTCGATTTCTCGTTGAATGTCACGAAGTTCTTCATCGAATGACGAAAACTGTGAACTGATTCTATCATAATCTGATTTTTGATCGTGTCGACACGAATCTAAATTTTTGAATACATCCTGAAAAAATTCGAGTAATTCGACATCATCATTGTCTTTCTCATCTTTCTTATTATCTTCCACCATATCTGCTCGCTTTTCTCCCTCGTTATCGGATTGCACTTCATCGTCATCAAAGATTCTCGCGACCTCTTGGCTCAAATTATTGGATTCGGGTTCGAATGATTTGTTGAGGTAATTTTGTGTAGATTCTTCATTGATCACTTCTTTCCAATTTGTAAAGGTCCAATTTTCTTCTGTGTACCGTTCATGTTGTTGCCGCTCGTCGTCGTCGTCATCTGTTATAATCTTTGTTATGTATTTGACTCTTGAGAAGTTAGAATATTGATAATAGAAATGGCTTTTTGTAATTTCTGAATTTTGCGGTTCCGCCATCTTTTATTTCGAGCTAACAATAACCATAACGATAAAGAATAAGTATCATTCTCGTTATTATTTACGGATATTTTAATAATGCATCCTCAAATTTTTGTGATTGATTAATGATTTGATGTGAACTTCGATAATTCTAATTTTTTTTAATTTCTATTTTACAAAGATTTAGACTTTAACGTTAACATGTAGTAGTTTAACATTAAGCGCATTATCGTTATATCGATATTAATACATAATCATGCTACACTCGGTGGACAAAAGTTTACAATCAGGAAATGATCGACATAAATTTAGGGTGGGTATTTTTCTATTGTACT